TACACACAACTACATATCGAGCTATACAACACCAGTTTATTCAGATCTCGCTCAATATGATCTTTTCTCACATTCAACGATCAGTTTATACTGGTGATGCATAGCTTGATGTGTCATGTGTCCATCAGAGTCATTCCCACTGCATTGTTTACAGAGTAACAACATTTGGTATGGATCCTACTTGATGCGGTTCTCATGTTGAGATTACTTTCATCTGTAGGACTTATGACTAATGACTCATTGGAATTCCATGATGGCGATCGATCGTAACTATATAATGCAATATGAGATAGGGTCTTTTTCTTTTACAGTCTTACAGCAATATTACATCATCATGCGAATGTGAATCATAAGGGTGGGTATACCATTGTCCTCATGTTTGGCAAGTGACTTAGAGATTGCGGTAACCACAACATCAACAGCTCGACTCCTCAAAATCAAAATCAAAATCAAAAAACAGTTATCTACTAACTGGCTAGCTTGTGACTTATGGGTCTCCTCTATAAGAGAGTTTCTCATGATCTCCACGCAAGCAGATAGGTTAAGAAAGCAGGTTTTGTTTTTTGGATATGAAAATAAGCATTTTCTCGTCATCATCATCATCATCATCATCATCATCATCATCATCAACAGTCTATAAATGCCCGCTGCTGAGCAAAACCTCTTCCCACACGGAGAACATTTGAGCATTGATTACCACGCTTGCTCCAAGCGGGTTGGTGATTACAAACTTATAATTAAAAATTATAAGCCCAGGTTTCCTCACGATGTTTTCCTTCACCGTTTGTCAGTGTTGTCTAAATAATCTTAGAAAGTAGGTACAACTCCGGAAAAGTCACATTGGTACTTGCTGTGGATAGGTTTCGAGCCTGCACCCTCATGCATGAGAAGCGGGCTAAGAGACATACCTCTAGGCCACCACGACATTATTTTCTAGTACCAATATAGCTTTATTGGTCTATTTAATATGGTTGATATCCGCAATAGTAACCACCACGCATTTATTAGGTACTTGGAACTGAAATTGAGAATGGTAAACGATTCGGACGAATAATTCTCTTCGATCAAATCCATTTCAGCAATTCCCATTTACATACGAAACTATGGGACTCACTACTAAAGCAAAATTGGATTTCAGTGTATTATGTGTTGTAGTATATGTTACCTTTACCTTCGCCTACGGTTAGAGTAAATGCGGTAGACCGAAGACTCTTTTAAACTTATTATAAATACCCGAATACGGGTTATTTAGTTTTATTGTAAGTAATTAGTAGATATTTGTGTTAACGAGGAGTGCTAGTGATGTGTTTGTTTACGACATATCCGGCACACGTGCGTGTAACTCGAGCCTCTGTTCCCGAGTGCGAGTGCGACTGTTAATGCAAAGTGCGAGCGGCGAGCGCTAGTGTGCGTTTTGGGGATTGTCGATAGATTTAAATTTAAATTAAATGTAATTTAAGTGATTACAATGAAAATTAAGTACATGCTTGTTGAGAATACTCTAAAAGATTTTCTAGTAAACGTTCATTAGCAGATTGACGATCAAAAAATTTACGAATCTTACCTTCCGGCGCATTCAGCGCCATCGCTTTATCTTAAAATATTCCTGTAATAATGTTACATCTGAAATAAAGGTCTATAGGAATAATACTAAAGGTCGCAATGAACCATGATTGGTATATCAATAAGACATTTTAATTATTATGTCCATCTTTATCAATGTATCGATATCGATAGAATTGATACCCATTCCTAGAATGAGTATTGAGAGGATGAGCGGTAATGCACTGTTTACAGTTTAGTGCATCGACAATCTGTTAATTGCTGTGCGTTTCTCAGGAATAGTACGAAATAAATAGGCACCTACCATTGCCACCTACCTACACTAATATACACAGTAATACTGAGTAAGGAGATTAGAAAGACTGAGCAAGAAGATAAGCAAGCACCTAAGAATTTTTAATAAAACTTTATTACTAGTCTGCTTTTTGCCTAAGTAACAACATAACATCACGCCTTTTATCCCCGAAGGGGTAGGCAGAGGTGGACATTACGGCACCTAATGCCACTGTACAATGTACCTAACACTCACTTTTCACTATTTATGTTATGAGTCCCATGCAATAGAGGGTGAGCCTATTGCCATACCGGGCACAATTCCAGACTCCATGCTACTACTGAGAATTTATCAAATACGTTGCCCGACCCGGGAATCGAACCCGAGACCTCCTTGCTCGGCAGTCGCAATTATTAATATTAACTTCTAAGGTAAATGAGAGTGGTTAGGTTCGATTCTTAAACTGTTAAACACCAAGCGGTCACCGGTGACCGCAACCTATTGTTCTATAATTGTGTCTACAAAACCGGTACTCGACGAGTTAAGTTAATTAAAGCTAGTATATTGCAGGTTCACCCTCTTTTACGTGGGACTTATAACATAGGATTTATTTTTAAGGGGGAAAAATCATCGAATGACTGCTCCCGCCTGGGTGAGGCGGGAGGGAGTGTTACTCTTACTGACTAAAAACCACCCCGTTCCTTCTCCTGCACGTCGAGCCGGAGCCCCATTTACCCGTTAGGTTCTCCGCGACTATAACATAGGATAGGATTATTAAGGATCGGCAAGACGCATGTAATGTTGCAAGCGTACACAGGCCACGGTTACCGCTTACCATCAGATGGGCCGTGTGCCTTTCTTGCCACAGTCATGGTATAAAAAAGAAGATAGGTAAGTACCATCCTGATAAACCAGCAGACCATTGGAGATTAAAAATTTTTTTTTACGTACAATATAAAGTTGCTACTTACTGATTTTATAGATTCTATGTACCATAACTGACCTCAAGACAGTGGCACATTTAACTCGATTTATTAACAATCCTTGGAAAAGTACTATCTAATTTACAGTACCCACTTTGAATAAACATAACTCCCCTATTCACCCTATGTGGCGGGTAGAAGCGGGTGAATCGTCACTCATCGTCTTAAGAATTCTTCGTCCGGAAGTCGAAGCTTGGCATTTTCATAATGTCTGCGCGACCCGCCTCCACCCGCGGCACCAACTAGTATTCATATGATAATTTTATTGAAGAACGTTGGCTCATTTTATGGAGAGGGCTTCTGTGTAATATTATTTTTCACCATTTTGTAAGTCATTTGCACGGTAATAATTTAAGTCTGAAATTAGATTACTTACAAAAATACTTGTGTAGTTTTGGACTTAGATATTTAGGTACTATACTTATACTAATAACACTTGAGTATCGAAAATCGATTACTTAGAAAAATCTATATGCTTTGCTGTCAAACATTCAGGCAATTAAATACTGGCAGGTAGCTGATGTACTAAGAAGTAACATAGCCTATTTTTATTTTGGAAAATGAAACATAAAAACGCATATTCTACGCGGACGAAGTCGCAACAGCTACTTAGTTAAACATACATAATTAGTTACTTAATTACGTAAGTCACCAATCAGAGCCCTGTTTCCTTACTAGGCACTCTCAAACTTATTTATTTATTTCTGGAATCTCGCCCAGGACCCCTTGCTCAGCAGTCATACATAAGACCACTCGACCAATGAGGCAGTCTAGACAACTAACATTCGTTGACGTTTCACACATTCATGCCCCTTTTCATACCAATTTAATAGCAATGTTTCACGTCCACAATTTTAAAAGCCATCTCCACCCTCGGTTACCTTACCTCAAGTAGGTATTCAAGCAATTTGTCCCGCTGTGATTTCCAGGGCATTCTTCACTTTTACTCGGAGTTCCGAGTTCGAGCACCATCTCGTACAATTACCGGCTGTTGAAGACTCTCGGTAAAAGTTTGAGAGCTGACGACTTCTAAATGTAAAAGTGAAAGGTGGTGTTTTGTGATAAAACTTCTCTAAAAGTCGGGAAAAATTCAGATATTTCTTACTGAATGACCAATGATTTTGGTTTTGAAGTAAAACTGAGTACCTACCTACTTGAAAGTGTTTTGCTCTATTGCACATGTTTAGGTACTGGACATCATTCATTTTATTATGTAACTAGCTACTTCCACGCTATTTCAACCTCTCTGTTCGATTCTTTTTGATCGTAGCGTAATGTTTTATAGCCTAACGCCTTCCTCGATAAATGCAATATGCAACACGAAAATAATTAATTAAATCGGACCCGTAATTCCGGAGATTAGCGCGTTTACACAAACTTTATAGTATGAGACTTAAGTAGGTGATGGAGTGATGCCGTGTTGGAATAATTTAAACTGTCAAATACCAAGCGGTCACCGGTGACCGCAACCTATTGTTCTTTAATTGTGTCTGCAAAACCGGTACTCGACGAGTTAAGACGAAGTTTTAGAATTACCTAATTTCAATCAAAATTTAAAAATACTAAGACTTAGGTATGGTTTACGACCCGACGATACGTTTTCGATAAAATATTGTTTTACGACCCATCGAAGATCATCGAGAAGGCTGACAAAACTATATTGTATGTATTAAAACTTGAGAGCCTGCTTTTAATGTTTCTCTATGTACACTACGAATACTTACATATGTTCGTTATCTTTAGGTAGATACATACTCCCAGAATGTCTCCATCACACAATATTGCTTATTGAGATTACTCGACCTTCTCTATCAGTCTTTTTTCTAGATTACTGCAATACGCGCCTGGTATACGCGGCCGGAAACGAGACACAATGCGTTTTCTATTGTCTCATATGCCGGCAGATCTTAAGAGAGTTAAGAGAGAGGTTAAGTATACCTATTACGTTTGAAATTCTCAGTTGTGTGTGTATAGCACAATGCTCATATCTCCCTTAGGTACCTATTACATGGGTGAATGGAATTTATCACATAACTGTTTACAAAATCATTAGACGTGAATGTCGCACACAACGTGTGCGCTTTTGTGAGATATTGATTGTCTTTTGGAATGCAATAATATGTATTAGGTATGTGTATTATCAAGAGGATACGGTTAAATGAAATGCATGTTAAGTTGCTATTCTCTTTATTGCACCTTCAAAAGCTTCCTTAAATCCTACCTTTGTACTATTTACAAACGTGCCGATACAATCAACTATTAAAACATTTCAACCTTAAAAATATTTACAACAGTTATAACTAAACAGTAACAATTCTACTAACTACGTGCTTTGGCTACCATTACCTCCATCTTTGGTTTTTATTGCCAGATAAAAATATTATTGATTCGTACATTCTTATTCCAAATAAACTAACTCATTCCACGAATGAATTCAGATATTTCCGTTAGAAAAATAACGCATGTTTGTGATGTTGGTTCTAAATTCTAATTTGAAATACGTGTCCAATTTCTCTTTGCGCAATTTTAAAAATAGAACGTTCAAAATTCTACTTTTAATTTCTACAAACTAACGATTAACCTCTTTATTAAAATTATTCTAAGAACGTTCCTAATTTTCAATCTCAATATTACTGGCCATACTTTCGTTACTGTTCTCATTTAAATCAATATGAGGTTTTGGTTTGGTTTCTGTCTTTTCCTTGTTATCTTTTTCTTCGGTGAACTCTTTGCTGTCTGGTCGATCAACTTGACTTCTTTCGACATCACAAGGTACTGGTAATCCAAATGTTGAATGACCCGGGTAATACATGTAGGGTAGCGGCAGATTCGGGTAGTTCACTCCCAAATGAGGACCATATAACGATTGTAAGACCGCTTGGTTGTAGGACTCTTGTAATAGAGCTTTGTATTGAGGATTTTTCGCGAAATCTACGCCGTAAACTCCTGCAAAATGCTTTAGAATCGGAGAACTTTCTAGAAGGTTCGGTGGTGTGAAGAGTGGGTTTAACGTCTTTCCTAGCATAGGATTTTGGTAAGACTTCAAGTCAGGTATGCTGGATTGTCCGTTATTGTTCACGAGTACCTTTACAGCCACTTTTCTCGCATGGTTCGCGGCTGCAGCAGCGGCTGCGAGCATGCCGTTCTCTTGCATCTGCAACTGCTTTCTTTTCGTCTTGTATCGTCGATTCTGGAACCAGATCTTGACTTGGGTCTCAGTCAGCTTCAGACTGACTGCCAAGTCTGCTCGTTCAGGTCCTGAGAGGTATCGCTGTTGGCTGAATCGTCTCTCTAACTCGTATACTTGAGCGTGGGAGAAGGCAGCTCTTGATCTCTTTTTCCGTCCACCATTTTGCGAATATTCTGTGATGTGGTAATTCGGTGAATGGATCATTCTGGAGTCGTTTGTCGGGGTGGAACATTTACGCTGGTCGTAGTGTAAGCTGAATGGTTTGTAGGCTGTATCTGAGCTCGGTGAGGAGTTCGCTCTCCGTACCGGGGAGCCGGTGGTCGAGGATCGGGAGTCGTAATCATCTGTAACAAAGAGAAATAAATTTTAGTATACTTTGAAATAAGTGAATAGTTTTAATATGGGGCCGGCAGTTATTATACAGTTATATATTGTTTTTACATAGGTAGTAAATTTTATCGTAACAAAAAGGCTTTCTTTTGAAATTCTATTAAACTGATTCGTACCACTACGAAACAAATAAAAGTGCGACGCAATGATACATTTTTCAAAAGAATATCAAAGTAAAAGGTACGACGAAGAAAGCTCCAAACTCATTAAGCTAAATTCACACGATCACATGAAATCAATTAAATTGCTTATCGGCACACGCCATTCCCGTATAAAGGCGCTTACACAATGGATCCATTACGCAAATTGTCGCCGGTCATTAGACACGGTAAAAGGATGCGACGCACGGCGTAACAGTATTTTTGCGTGTGGTGCTTTTGTTGTGCAGGGTCGTTAATAACGTCAATTAGTTGTCGCATCGACACTAATTGATGTAAGTTCTAACTAAACAGGGCGAATGACGTAGTTATTCTGTACCTGGTAGATATTAACATAAACATCAATATCATGGCTAAATAAATGAAATTCTTCCGTTCTTGTCAAATATGTTATTGAGAAACTGATAGATAATGAACAACCGAAATAAACGTAGTTGTAGAAAGTAGGAAGTTTGTAGTGTGTAACAAAAGAAAATTTTGGAGAAGTAAAATATTAAATGAAGTTTTTCATGAAGTTTATGGAACAGATCACAAAACAAAACTTAAATGTATGGAAATAAGGAAGTTAGCAAGATTATTTAGTGAGCAAGCACGTAAGAACCTAGAAATAAAATTGTATGAATTAGCGTAGGCAATATTAACCTCGTCAAGCTAAATTATTTGGTCATGACCTTAGAACGTCAATATCCAATTTACATTACAACCAAGACAATTTTCCATCGAACTACAAACCTAGTAATTACTAAATTGAAAGGCTGAATGGCTTTAAGCGTCATCACTTATAATAATGAGGGGGTAAGCGTAATCGCGCGAAGTGACGATTAAGTGGCGATGTCGCGGGGACGTACGACGCGTGCCGCGTGACCGCGCGGCGAGTGTGACGGTGCGGTGTGAACGCACCATTATCTTCATTGTCCGCCGGTAATTATTCGAAGCCGAATTTGAAACTATCGATCGGTCGTTTGTCACTTGTTTTAATTTTAGATTAATAGAACAAATGGATCGGTCTAGGTTTTTGATATGACAGAAATTCTACAGCATTAATGTTGAGACCTACATTAATCCGAAATATTTAAAGGTACTTCGTTCGTACTATCGGTTACTTTTTAACTACTCTCTATAGGTACATCAATCACGCTATCTGGCTTATTATAATGATAATCATGGTGTCAGAAAACAGTCATTTGTCCACTTTTTGCAATCATCATCATAAGATGAGAACATAGACTTGACACTTATCCCTCGCAGATAGTAATTTTAACACACAATCATAGTAAAAACTACCGATTCCTTATTCACTACACTTAACATTGTCATGAAGCGTGTAATCTCCGAAGGGCTAGCCCTTCGGAGATTAGCATCTGCCTAGGCAGATAGCACATATTAAATGTAAATGTAGTATACCTAATTAACTCTCACTTTTCTCTTAATGAAATCAATGTATGAAGTCGGTTAAAAAGAGCCCACTTATTACCCGAGATTCTGTGCTACAACTGTGAATTTGTAGTAACCCAATAATAGTTTGCTTGATCCGAGAGTCCGACATGGGAGTTAGGACCTCTATTGTGATCACTCGAACGTAACTAATGGGATTCTGTAAGGCAAATTAATCTCAAGACGAGTAGGCATCTATCGGGTAAGCTCTTGAAACTACATTCGTTATAGAGGAATTATAGTCTATAAGTAGTCTAGATATGTGTACATATCTATCCTATATAACTAGGCTATGTATAGACTCATTCACGTCAATCAGTAGACTCTAGACGTCCTAATAATAGTCAAGTAATCTATTAGACTGCTACGTCAAGTGGTTGGAAGTGCTACCGAGTATGGGATATCGATAGTGCGTGTGGTACCCTGATATAGGTAACCTAAATAGGTACTCGATTGAGAGACCGGTAACAGGTTTCTCTTAATTTCGGTGACCTTGTGATTTCTAAACCGGAAAGAGTGTGGACTGCATCAGTTGGGATACACACTCTTGGGACGGAAGTTTTTGTGTAACAGTGGAGTAGGTGCCTACTCCGAGTCATGCATGACCTCATCATGACAGGGATAACAAGTGTTATGCTGCTTCTGCTTATTTAAACGTTGCCCCACACCACACTATTTTGTCCTGTGTCGTGGGTGCGTTTACAAACATACACATACACATGAGACCCGGAACAACAATCTGTGGATCTCACAAAGAGTTGTTCCCTACGGGCATCGAACCCTCGACAGCCAGCGCGACAGCCAGTTGCTCAGCCACCGCGTCAACCGTGCCATCGTGTGTGATTGGATTGTTCGTTTAATTTCTTATAGTTATGGATAGGTTTCGTATGGAGCGTTTGGTTTTTAATATTTTATATTTTTCGTCTTTACTTAGGTAGGTATCATAAAGAAATAGTGAAGTGAATTATCATTTCTGTCTGGGTTCTCCTTCAGGTTATAAAAGGCGAGGCGTTAATCAATTAAATATGTTTAGGTAATGATAATAGTGACAACTTCATTGACTAGTGGTTGTTAGTAGTAAAGGTAGAAATACATAGGTATGTATAAGTGTGGGAGTGCCATGCTTCGCCACGAACGGGCTGGGTCGACCGGAGTGATACCACGGCCTCACAAAAAACCGACGTGAAACAACGTTTGCGTTGTGTTTCGTCGTGTGAGTGAGGTTACCGGAGGCCTAACTATCCCCCCCTCCTTCCCTAATCTCCCCAATCCCCAACATTCCTCTAATTCCTCCGATTGCTTACCAAGTGATCCGTTTGCTCGTTTATCGGCTTATCCCATAGAAGTACGAGGTACCTACCTATTTACCTAAGAAGTGGAGAATATCTAATGAGACTTGATTAGTTAGGTAAGTAGAAGTACCTACGGCTATTCAATCAGTGACAGTTTTAATTTAATACATACATACCTATGCAGTATTTACTTAAAATGAGATAATTACGTGGGTTTAGTAAGTACCTAGTTAGGTAGGTACCTACTTACTATCTGCGGAGTACGTAGGTAACTAAAAAACTAGCATAATAAAATCACAACTTTAGCTACCTACTTTATCTAAATTGGTCTAATAATAATAGCTAGTTGGCTCCCTAGTACATAATTATAAGTGCATAGGTAGTTATTTCGAGTACCTATTTAAACCTAGATAGATAACTAGAAGAAAACAAGTACCTCTTAGTGCCCTTAGTTACCGTACCTCGACATAGGCACCTAGATATGTAACATATCAACAGATTTCAGCTATGTTTAGGTATAAGTAAATGAAAACTAAAGATGTCAATAAAATAAAATAATGCTAACCTGATAATTCCGTGATTGGATAATGGTTCTTCCTCGACATGTCCAGCGCACCATCACCAGCACAGTCCCTGAATCCGTTGCAATCGTCGTAGTACTTTAGTCCTTTGTCCAAACCTTCTTTGTTCATGTATCCATCCTCCTTGCCGAAACAACTGGCCGCTTTCCCCAAAAAGTTCATCTTCCCGCCGAAACCATCCGAACAAAACATTCCATTTTCAAATTCACACTTTCCCTCGTTCTCTTTGGTCAAAATGTCGTTTATAGAAAACGGCGTCGTCAAATTCGGCTTCTCACAATCTTGTAACGTTAACGATTCTTTAAAATTTTTCAATTTAGACTCCATTTTTATTTTGAAAATTCAATTTGAACACATGAGTTTACACTTCACCGCGCGGTACGGACTCGCCTCACCGCAAAAGCGTTCCTCAAACGAATAAACTTGGGTGATAGATAGTCCGCCTGTTTGACGTGTTTAAGCCTTAGAGGGAGACGGAGTTATGTAGGTGTTAGTAGTGATTGTTCATGTTAGAGTAGGACAGAGAGATTGGAAGTCGGTCGTTTTTTAAAAAAGCGCTCGGAGTAGCGTAAGTAGTGGGGATCGGTGAGTTTTTCTTGAAGATGTTTACGTGAATGCGATTTGATCGTTCGGCTCGGGTCACATGCGATTATCAGGATGCTGTGAATTGGCCATTGCAACTAATTTGTTGCGAAAACTGTTAAACTGCAATTTATCTTGTGGTGGGTTATTAATGATATTGCATTTTACTATTGGGTATAATTATGAATTAGGTGTTTTGAAGACCTTTTAACAATCGATTAATTAAGTTGGACAATCACGATAACAGAAACTTAAACGATGCCGTACCTAATCTATTTTTAAACAGCCTGCTTAAATATTAGATCTATATTATTAGTCATTGCAGTACTTACTTGGGTATCTAAGAACTTAAAAAAATATTGTGAATTATCAAATTATGCAATTAAGTAACTATTCAATGAAATCATTAAAAAAATCATCGAATTAAATGAATTAATTATGAATTAGGTGTTTTGAAGACCTTTTAACAATCGATTAAACTGTCAAACACCAAGCGGTCACCGGTGACCGCAACCTATTGTTCTATAATTGTGTCTATAATGACGGTACTCGACGAGTTAAAATACGATCATGATAGTAAATACAGGTATAGGTAAATAAACAATTCAATATATTAGCAATATTACGATAAACAATCTGTATCGCAGCCAATCCGCAAGAGCCGCACTATTTTGTTGCACCGTCCATATAATCCAATTTCCTTAGGCACCCACCGTTAACGCGCGCTTTATCTGTAAGTACTTGACAAGTGTCTATCCATCTCTCTCACACCTACACACATCTCCCATGCCCTAACGTCACCTTCCCTTTCCCTCATTAGAGCACCATTTAAACCAACCAATCACGTTGGACCTTCTCTTGTGACGGACCAATAAATGAAGTGGGTGAGTGGAAGTGTCAACATAAATTTTCTTTTTAATTTTCGAACGCGGAAAGTTCGTTCTCATGTTTCTATGGCAACGTGGTTTTGAAACTGGAACTTGGAAGCGCTTGAGATGTGTTCCTGTTTGTTGGGAATTTACGATTTATTTTTGGCTCGGAGGAAATCTTATAACTGTGTTTCATACTTCAATTACGAAATACATACATCAATTAGTTAAATGATTAAATAATACCTACCTATTAATAAAATATTCGCCTCCCGACGGAATAAAATAATTAGTAGGTAGGTATAAAGTTATTTGTAGAACTTTAGTTCGTTGAATTTATCTAGATTCTACCTACACTTTCTAATCGAAAGAGGTTTGTAAGTACCTAATGATTCTACCTAAATAGAATGAACCTAGAATAGAAACTATGTAAGTAATTACTATTTTAAACTGTCAAACACCAAGCGGACACCGGTGACCGCAACCTATTGTTCTATAATTGTGTCTATAATGACGGTGCTCGACGAGTTAAAACGCGAACGTATACCTACTTACCTAAGTTCTTACCAGTACCTACCTATTTTTAATTTTATTTAAGAGCTTCACTGTCCTTTGGCAATTTTAATATTGCCCGCCTACGACTATAAAATGAGATCTAGGTAAATGCAACGGACTAAGTGAACACAAGCTTTTTAGATCCACTAAATACCTAATAGCCATAAGTATATAAAATAAAAATAATAATACCAGAGCATGTTATATCCCAAACAAACGAATCAAATTAATTTGACCCGAATAAAACACTTAACCTGAATCGAATACAATAAAACCCGAATTAACCCACCACTTAATAATGAATCGAGTTTAATCGATGCCCGACTCGATTGATTGATTATCGATATAATATCGATATAGCTCGGCTGACCGCAAACACACCACTTATGAACACTTAGCTCGAACCACTTATGACTGTGTAGATCTAATAAAGTATAGAGAAGACATTAGCTACGTACTTACATCACATTAAGTATCTCACTCGTATTATAAATGTGAAAGTTTGGGATGTTTGTCCGTTAATCACGCTGAAACTACGAACGGATTTCGATAAAATTTGGTATACAAACGGGGCTGACTTAGGTGATAGGCTACTTTTTATCCCGATCAAAGGCTTTCATGGGATGAAACAGAAATACTTAGGTATGCGGGCAAAGCCGCAGGTAAAAGCTAGTTAATTAGTATGGCATCAAGTTAAATGATAATAGGTATTTGGTTAACAACTTTGCCACGGTGGTATTTAACTTTGCTCTGCTCAGACTAAAATTGTTTCTGTCATCGTGGGTCGTGATCGTGAGTTCGTGCATTTAGAAGAACATTCATAGGTGAGATGCACATCACTTCTTGAACAGGAACAACTACTACTAGGCAAAGTTACAGAATAAGGAAATAGTTGAATCTATTTCTACTTACACAAATACAATTTCTGTGTGGAAATTGAACTCGCGACATAGGGATTTTTTTTTAAAGGGGGGAAAATCATCGAATGACTGCTCCCGCCTGGGTGAGGCGGAAGGGAGTGTCAGACTCTTACTGACTAAAAACCACCCCGTTCCTTCTCCTGCACGTCGAGCCGGAGCCCCGGTTACCCGTTAGGTTCTCCGCGACTACGCGACATAGGGATAGAGAGGTATGGCGCAGTCAGTCAGTCACTGTGAATGAAGAAAGAAAGTAAGAAAGAAAAAACATTTAGGTATTCATCACCAAGCACGATGCAGCGTAAGTAAAATATAAAAGGGCAATAAAAGATAGCGTGACAGTGAATGTAGGTACCTAAAATATACGTACAGGGAATAAAAAAATTAAATCAGAAAAATCTGAAAAAGTAGTGCTACCTACTAGATATTCGTAATCGCGTAGTAGATGAGAGTGTATCTGTCGCAGGGATATGATAAAAACAGACATTTGGCCAAATGTGGCCCAATTACCCTTCCTTTCCCCAATCTCCCCAATTCCTGAATTCCCAACGATCCTCAAGTTCAGATTCAGATCAGATTGCTTACCATCAGGTGATCCGTCTGCTCGTTTACCGGCTTATGCCATAAAAAAAAATGTCTGGGGGATTTCATCTAATCACCGAGGATGTCAAAATAACAACACGATTTTATCGTTTTCCTAAGCAAATCTAGGGATTTGACAAATCACACTAAAAACTTCTAGTGATTTGAATAAATCTCAAAATTGGTTCAGTGAAGTGATAATAAAACATTTCAGTTTTTGTTTAGGTACTTACGTCGTGCTCGCGTTTGCTCTTTTGCTTGCATTCTTTTTTTAGTTAGATTATGAACGGAGTGAAGGGCAGATCGTAGGCACCCCTCTCCAGTCTCCCCGAATCCTCCAAAATTCCTAATTCCCAAAAGGCCGGTAACGCACTTGTTACGCCTTAGTGTTTCAGGTGTCCATGGGCGGCGCCGATTGCTTACCATTAGGTGATCCGTCTGCTCGTTTACCGGCTTAAGCTATGGAAAAAAATTACTTTGGCGGCCATCTGTATGCGTTCGTCGCTCTATGGGCCTCCACTTGATGGCAACCGATATCCTGAGAGAACATCATCTGAATGTAATATAAAACGCTTACAGCAGCTTCCATGTTTATGAACAACTTTATTATATGAAGCATAACATTCATGTTTTCCTCAAATGATTCGTTTCTACCTAAGATACCATACCTTTGTTAACACCTATGTATTATGTACCTACCTATTTTTGCAAATGATTAAATGAATATGAATACCTATTTAGGTTCACTTTACTTTTGGGTGTAGGTACTTAAATCTAAATAACCGTAATATTTTGTTATCGTTATCGGGATAAGGAAGTACCTACCTACTGTTACTGTTAGGTGGTTACCGGTTGGCGGTAACTTACAAATAAACTGTGGAACATAAATACATCTTATATCTATGCTGCGAAATCTGTTTCGTTTTCGTCCCGAAATTTATATTTGTATTACCAGCACAGCACAGCAGGTTCTGTGTTGGTAATACAATAGTTTTAAAAAGAAATAAAGTGTTTAAAACAAAAAATAAATCATTGTAGAAAGCAAACGAAGCACACACGGACTCATAGTAGGTATTATCAATACATCACGCCATGTAATTCTCGAAGAGGTAGTTTTCCTCGTCGGGTGGCGCCGGGCGCGTGCGAATAGTGAAGTGAAGAAGTGTTTCATGTGCGTATTTCCATGAAATATGTTTTTTAATAAAAAAGTAAATCATATCTTTATTTTTTTTTGTTTAAACCACAGATATTTAACCACAGGTACCTACTTATATTAAAATTGATGGTTTTTACTTTATGGTATAGGTACTTACATACATAGGTACATACTGCAAGTATGCCGCGGGACGAAAACGAAATCCTAGATTTCACGGTGTATATTCTGCGGTGGACTGGTTAGGGAAGTCAGATGTCTGCTGCTGTCTGCCGTATACTTACCTAAGTAGGGAGTGTAGGCGTTAGAGAATTCTGTGGTTAAGGCAATTTTTTTATGTAATAAGCCGAGCAGACGGATCACCTCACCTGATGGTAAGCAATCGGCGCCGTCCATGTACACCCGCAACACCGGCCTTTTCGGGATTAGGAAATTGATGATTGTTGGGGATTCGGGGATTGAGGAAATTCACACGACGAAACACAACGCAAATGTTGTTTCACGTTGGTTTTCTGTGAGGTAGCCTTATAGAACAATTAAAATATGTCAATTATACCGTGGAGTATTAGACGCGCCGCACTCAAAGAACGGAAGCTGGGTCCACGGGCCACTAACATGGTGGGACCTGCTGCAAGGGTGCGGTGAATTCGCAAGACCTGGGTCACGGTTATAGGCTATAGGGGAGGAACCCCGCGATTGTTTTAGCTGGCAAGGAAAGGCCACGAGAATTTCCATCGCGTTGA